TGAAGAAAGTCCAGTTTCTGATGGGAGCTGATGATCCCTCCAACTTACCAATCACAGTGGTCTGATGTGCCTTTATTGCAGAGATTCCCTTCACTTTTCCAGTGGGCTTGTTTTCGTCAGGGAGCCTGAGATAGGGACTCTCTCTGTTGTTCACTTCTGGAGCTCAGGACAATGGCTTTTATGTCTCCCTGTGCCTTTGCAGTGTGTAACCAAGTAGCTGCACAGCCAAAAGGCCAGAGGCTGGGGGCAGGGAGTATTGTTGGAGGCACCCGTACAGCCAAGCTGTCAGCTGGTGGGCCTGCCTGGTGTGTGTGGGGGGTCCTCCTCACCATGTCCTGGTGGCTGGTGGCAAGCTGGTGGAGCAAGCTGGAGCAAGCAGTTCCTGGTCAGCCTGCAGTAACTCGGCCCCACTCAGCCTGCCCAATTCCTTCAGCCCAGCCGTCAGCTGGTGGGCCTGCCTGGGGGAGACCTCCTCACCCTGTCCTGGTGGCTGTTCCAAGTCAGCCATGTCTAATGAAGTTAAATCCATACCTTCCTTTCAGTTGCTATGGCTCCACCAACTGTTTCTGCTTTTATCTGGGTAAAGGCTGATCTCTGTCCTCTGAGAAAGCTTGGCTCAGTCTCACTACTACCATTACCACCCCCCACCCCCAGTAAGACTAGCTACCTGATAACCTGGTTGAGTACTGCTGTGGTGGAAATTTAGTGCCAATGTCTTTAAAATTGATCAAGTATTGTAGTAGACATCCCTGCCCAGTACTAGCGGGCTATAAGCAGCACATGGTTCTTGCTTTCCATAATTTGGCTATATTGTTTTATATCAGGAGTTAGACCAAGGCCCTGCGTGACTCAAATGGCCATGTCAGATGGTGGACTGGGTGAATATAGCCCTCCCCCAGTGGCTGCCATGGAGACCTAAGCCCTGGTCTGTGAAGTGACAGGACTCTGCTGAGTCACATACAGCTGAGGTCAGTGTGACCCCAATTAAAATCCTCTTCCCTGAATTATGCATTCTCATTGACCTGATGGGTTGCTTGCTAATTTGACCTGGTCCCAGTACCGGTTGTTCTGTCCAAGTAGTGCTTCCTTCCTTACACCCCTGCTTGGCACCATCATGTCACATGTTGGCAGTATACCATTAGATGACTTCAAAGCATACCCTGCTATATATTTCTTCCCATGCTTGTATTCAATAAATACTGGATGCAATTGAGGGCTTTTGTCTTTGCTCCCCAAAGCAGCACTGATCAGCCCAGGACACAGTTTTCTCAAAGTCTTGTCTTTATTCTTTAATTAGCTTTGTGTTGTACCCTCACAGGAGATTGTAGACTTACTACAGAAGTCTACAGTAACTTCCCCTTTCCTGTGGTCTTGGTGTGTTTTTCTTGTGATCTTGATCTCTCTCTCTCTTTCTCTCTGTCATGATCTCTTTCAAAACTATTTCTTGATCTTGTTTAGTGGTGGAGATACAGGGAATTGTTTTTGTATTTTTTTTTTGGTACCGGGGATCAAACTCGGGTCCTTGTGCTTGTGCAACAGGCAGCAAAACCACTGAGCTAAATCCCCGGCCTGATACAGGGAATTGTAGATGGTGCCTTTGCACTGAACTGCATTCCCAAGCCTTTAATCTTTTTCAAGAGACAAAATTTAATATATGCACATGGATTTATACATAATGCATCATCACACCATATAGGGAATTTACTCTTATTTCATAATTCAAATATGTTTGAAACACTTCCTAAGGCTGCAAAACAGAACAGAGAAAAATAAACAGGAATATGTTAAATACTTTAAAAAGTGATATGATAAAGAATATAAAATATTACTTTCCTTTCAATACTTCAAAAAATATGTATATGTACTTTTTACAAGTGACATCACAAATGATCACATCTTCACATGCCTAAATATTACTTGTACTCAGTGTAAGGCTATTACCATTTTTTCATGTCTGAATTTTTGTAGCTCTGTAACTATGCAGTTTTAATCCATTCAAGTAAATTGTACCCCAAAGTTGCTACTTCTCAGCATTAAGATATGCACCCACCCTTATAAGATTTTTTAAAACTTGTATCTCAGGGGGGAAAAGCTCTTTTTAAAACTCCCTCTTAGTGGGAGAGTAAATGGCTGACACTAGTAGCAAAGCCTTAGTTCTTTAATGTTAACACACTGGAAGTGAATCATTTTTAAGATTGTAAAAGAAAAACAATAGCATTTAGACAAAACAGGGAGCAAAGTACAATAAACAGAAATAGTGTAGCCAAATATATATTCTCTTCAGCTACACAAGACTGGACTTTGCTTAGTACCCATACATGAACAGACAAAAAGTTTTACTGAAGGTAAAATAAATGAGGCAAAAATAAGTATTGCTAGTTTCTAGAATGGCCGAGTATTTTCTAAGCCAGAAATGGTTAGAAAGGAACTTTATTGCATCATCAATTGTAAGCAAGTTTGCAGTTCACAGGCATTTTATTTTTCCCTTGAGTCATAAACAACACTGCAAGAATAAGATCTTGGATCCAATAAGCATCTCAGCACTGTGGTTTGGGAAAACCACCTCTTGTCAGATGGAGACAAGTTCTAATCTTAGGTCTGCCATGAAAATGGACTTATAAGTTACCAGGAAACAACATGAGGACTACACAGCTGTTAGCATCCCGCTGCCAAGGAGTACATGGGGCAAGAATTGAAGATGTATTTGACAGGAAACAAACTTAGAACAGGCATATTCACAATACTAAAAGAAACAGGGGCTGGACTCAAGCTCAGCAAAAGCACCTAACAAAAAACAACAGGTGAGCTTTGGTCAGTCTAAGCATTGTTCTTGAAAATGTGTCTTGTCATACTACAGTAGAGTTTAATTTTCTTCTTCTTCTTTTTTTTTTTGGTACTGGGGATCAAACTTGGGTCCTTGCACTTGCGCAACAGGCAGCGAAACCACTGAGCTAAATCCCCAGTCCTTAAAGTTTAATTTTCAAATCAAAATACAAATGATTCTCAGTTCTATCTTTTTATTTCTTTTCTTATACAGAAATGTATCTCATGACAGCATACAATATGACATACAGTTAATATGAAGGAAGACAAAAGCTTGCAGTATCAGAAAGGAATTGATGGCAGTACACACACACACACACACACACACACACACCCCACTGGTGGCTTTGACAGGGATGCTTATACCTCAGAAGGCAAACTGCTCACAATTACCAGGATTCTCTGTGTCAGAGAGAAAGATACACAGAGATAAGAGGGAGGGAAGGAGAGAGAGAGAGAGGAGAGAGAGAGAGAGAGGAGAGAGAGAAACATCTTACCCCATTCTCTCATTTTCCCTTCTGTCTTCTGGTTAAAAAGAAAAAAGTCTCAGATCAACAAGTGGCCAATCCCTAACAACAAAATAGGAGACTTCGTGGTAGGAGCTGAAGCAAACACACTCTGTCCCACACTCCATTTAGGCATTTTTTCTGTCTCATGAACTCTATCTAATTTGGTCCCCTTCTTACCAGTTGATAGGTCTCCCACTACCTCAGCAGCTATTATGTATCGTAGCTGCCCTCTTCCTATGGTGCCTTGCCCCCTCCCCTGTGTGACATCACGCCAAGATGGTTGTTCCCACCAAAGAAGAAACCCTTCTTCCCAGCATGCCCCTGTTCCCACCTAGAGAGTAACCTAATACTCAACTCCTACCAACTAGTGACATCGCTGGCTCATCCATTCCCTAGTCACTACCTCACTCAACCCCACCTCAGCCCCTACAAACCCCACCCTATTCTCTACAAAAGACATTCCCTGACATGGTCATATTGCCTTTGTCTCTCCTTTGTTCAGAGACAGCCCAGCAGATCTGTTCTAATAAAGGCTTGTTGTGCCCTGGTCTAGTCTTGATTTTTGGCCCTTTTACCTGACACCAGTGAACAAACCTCTTTTGAGAATTCTGATGTTCCAAGTTTTTCATTCCTCAGGTTAGTAAGATAAATATGTGGCCATGTAATTATTATCCTTTCCTAAATATGTGTATAATGCACTCAGATGTTGCTAGGAGTGATGATGATATATCCCTTGGTCTTCCACAGTCCATGTAGATAGGGTTTCCTATGTGTGTTGGAAAGCCAGGTGGCCTGTTAGCTTACCCTTGCCAGACAGACTTGGCCTCTCTCTCCATGTCCACCAAGGTTGACTGGGTCAGTCAGCAGCTGGAGTGACCAGGCTCTCCCTCACCAAGTCTGCCGAGGTCAACCTGGGCAGTCAGAAGCAAGACTGACTGGGCCCTCCCTCACAAGTGCTGCTTAGGTTGACTGGGACAGTCTATGACTTGAATGACCTGGCTCTTCCTCACTAGGTCCACAGATCTACCCCATTCAGTCTGCAGACAGATTGACCAGTCTCCCTCATTGGGTCAGCCCAGGTCTACTCTAGTAAGTACATGTCCAGAATTCCTGGGCTCTCCCTCTCTGAGTGTGCTGTGATCTGACTGTCAGGAGCAATTCTACATGATTTTGGGGAAAAATCATTTCACAATTAAATCATGATTAGGGCCTAGTTCTCCTGCCTACAGGCCAGCTATGGCATGTCGAGACGTAACTCCATCTTCTCTTCTGGTCACACCTAAAACCTCAATGGTCCAGTGATGCTGTGATTCTCCAGAACAAGATTACACCAGCTGAAGACATCCAGGGAGGAACAAAATCTTCATCTGCATAGATCCTCCTGTTCTAGGATTTTCACTGCTGCTGCAGCTGCCCTTTGAGTCACCTTTTACATTTGTTACTTTCCTGATGTAGTGAGCTCTTTCAGCCCTGAGTCATCTGTTACATTTGTTTCTCCTGATGTACTGAATAAAGGTGTGGCAAGCTCAGGGGCTTTTGTCTTTGCTGCCCAGAGCAGCACTGATGAGGCCCAAAGCTTAGCTTCTCTAAGTCTCATTTTTTCTATCTTTTCTCTCTAATAAACTAATTTTCCTTGTGCTGTCATGGCTTGCAGAAGACTAGGACTTACTGCAGTGGTTCGAGTAAGGTCCCCTTTCCCTGTTCCCTATAGTTGACCCCAACCATGGCTAGACTCAGGGTTTTCCTTTACTGAGTCTGCTGAGGTCAACCCAGTCAGTCTGCAGATGGAATGACTGGGCTCACTCTTGCTAAGGTGGCCGAGGTCACCCTGGTCAGTCCTTGGCCAGACTGGGCTCACCCTTGTCAGGACCACCGAGGTTCTCCCTGGTCATTCTGTGGCTGGATTGACCTGCCTCTACCTCACCAGGTCTGCCAAGGTCTACCCTGGGAAGTACATGGCCAAACTGATCTGGCTCTGCCTTGCTGGGTTTGCCGTGGTCCACCCCAGTCAGCCCACGACCAGAGTCACTGGGCTTTCCCGCACTGAATCTGCTGAGGTGCACCTCAGTCATTCCATAGCTGGACTGGCCAGGCTTTTCCTGGGTGAGTCTGCAGATGTCAACTCCAGTCAGTCAGTGGCCAGACAGGGCTGTCCCTCTCTGGGTCTACTGAGGTCCACCCCATTCAAACTGCAGCCAGACTGACTGATCCCTCCCTCATTGGGTCAGCCCAGAACCACCCCAGTAAGTCCAGATCCAGAATTACTAGGCTCTCTCACCAAGTCCCCCAAGGTCTGCTGAAGTTGACCCCAGTCAGTCTGTGGCCATACTCAATGGGCTCTCCCTTGCTGGGTCCACTGAGTTTGATCCTTGCCAGGATCTCAGAGAGCCTCCTTGGTCAGTCTATTGCTGGACTGACCAGGCTGTACCTTGCTGGGTCTGCTGAGGTTCACTCCAGTCAGTGAACGCCTAGACTGAATGGGTACTCCCTGACCAGGTCAGACTGAGGTCACCTCGCTCAGTCCATGGCTGGAATGACTGGGCACTCCCTGGGTGGGTCCACCGAGGTCCACCCTGGTCTGCCTGTGGTCAGACCAACCGGGCTCTCCCTCACTAGCTTCACTGATGTCCACCTTGCTCCATTTGCAGCCTGACTGACCATGATCTCCCTTGGCAGGTCTGATGAGTCCAGCCTAATCCATCCTGCCAGTTCCACCATGGTCCATCCCACTCCATCTGTGGCCAGACCAACCAGGCTTTCCCTGTCTGAGTCCACTGAGCTCCAACCTGGTTGGTCTGCAACTGGACTGACAGACTTCTCTCTTGCTGGTTCTTCCAAGTCCACCCCAGTCTGTCCATGGCTGAACTAACTGGGCTCACCTTCACCGGATCTGTTAAAGTCTACACTGGTCCATTCATAGCCTGCCCAACTGGGCTCTACCATGCCAGGGCCACCAAGGTCCAGCCCAGTCCTTCTGTGGCTGGACCAAGTGGCTCTCCCTCACTGGGTCTCCTGAGGTCCACCCCTGTCCACATGCACCTGGACTAACTAGATTCTCTCTTGCCTGGCCCCCCAAGGTCCATCCCAGTCCCTCTTTGACATAACCAACCAGGTTCTCCTTCACTAGGTTCCCCAAGGTCCACCTCAGTTGATCTTGACCAACCAGGCTCTCCCTTGCCAGGTCTGCTGAGGTCTTGGTCTATGACTGGATTGACAGGGCTCTTCCCTCACCAGGTCCACCAAGGTCCATTGAGTTTGACCCTGGTCAGTCTGCACCCAGACTCACAGGGCTGTCTCTTGCCAGGTCCACCAAGATCCACCCCAGTCACTCCACAGCTAGACTGATTGGGCTTTCCCTCAGTATGCCCACCAAGGTCTGCTGAGTTAGACCCTGGTCAGTCCACATCCAGGTTCACCCTTGCAGGGTTTACCAAGGTCTATTGGTTAGTGTACAACCAGAGTGACCAGGCTCATCATCACCAGGTCCTCCTAGGTCCATCCTGGTCCATCTGCAACTGGGCTAACTGGGCTCTGCCTCGCTAGGTCTGTTGAGGTCTGCCAAGTTCAACCCTGCACAGTCTGTGGCCAAACTCACCAGGCACTCCCTCGCCAGGTTTGCTGAGGTCCACACCAGTCAGTCCGCAGCTGGATTGACTAGGCTAACCATTGCTGGTTCTTCTGAGGTCCACCCTGGTCAGTCTGCATCCAGACAGACTAGGCTTGCCCTTGACTGGCCTGCTGAGTCTGCCCATTTCAGTCCATGGCAAAACTGACCTGGCTGGCCATTGCCAGGTCCACCAAGGTCCACTCCAGTCAGTCTGTGGTCAGAATGACCAGGCTTTCTCTCACCAGGTTGGCTGAGCTCCACCACAGTCAGTTCACAGCCAACCCCACTGGGCTCTCCCTCACAGGGTCTGCTGAGGTCTGCTGAGGTAGATCCCAGTCATTTCACAGCCAGACTCATAGGGCTGTCCTTCACTGGTCCTGCTGAGTTCCACCCAGGTTCTTCCATGGCCAGACTGACTAGGCTCTCCCATGCCAGGTCTGCTGAAGTCCAGCCTGGACTGATTGTGCTCTCCATTGCCAGGTCCACTGATGTCCACCCTGCTCTGTCTGTAGCCAGACCAACCATGATATCCCTTGCTGGGTCTGATAAGGTCCAACCTGGTCCATCCATGGCCAGACCACTTTGTCTCTCCCTCACTGGTTCTGCTGTTGTCCACCCCAGTCCACCTGCAGCCAGACCTATCAGGCTGTCCCTTGCTGGGTCAGCTGAGGTCCACACCAGACCATCCACAGACATGCTGTACTGGGTTGTACAATGCTGGGTCTGCCAAAATACATCCTGGTCCAACTATGCCTTGAATGACTGGGGTCTCTCTTGCCAGGTCTGCCAAGGTCCATCCCAGTCTGTCTGAGGCTGAATCAACTGGGCTCCCCCTTGCCAGGTACTCTGAGGTCCAGCACAGTCTGTTTGAAGCTAGACAAACCAGGTTCTTCCTTGCCAGGTCTGCTGAGGCCCACCCTGGGTTGTCTGTGGCTGGAATGACTGAGCTTCCCCTCACCAGGTCCGCTTAGGTCCACTTCAGTTGAGCTATCCCTCCCAGGGTCCACCGAGGTCCACACCAGTCTGTCTGCAGCTGGACTGACCAGTCTCTCCCTTGACAGGTCCACTGATCTCCACCCTGCTCTGTCTGCAGCCAGACCAATCATGATCTCCCTTGCCAGGTCCATCGAGGTCCAGCCTGGTTTGACCAGGCTCACCCTTGCCAGTTCCACTGAGGACCACATCCATCCATCCATGGCCAGCCTAATTGGACTCTACCAGTCCTAGGGCTGCTGAGCTTCAAACTCTCTGGGTCTCCTGAGCTACACCCCAGTCCCTCTACAACAGAACTGACTAGGGTCTCCTTCACTGGGTCCCCAAAGGTCCACCCTGGTCCATCCACAGCCAGACTGACCCAGCTCTCCCTTGCCAAGTCCCCAGAGTTACAGCTTGGTCCTTCCATGGCTGAGCTGACTGGGCTCTCCCTTACCATGTCTGCTGAGGTGCAACTAGGTCCTGCCACAGCTGGAGAGACCATGTTATCCCTTGCTGTGTCCACTGAAGTTCATCCTGGCCCGTCTGCACCCTGGCTGGAATTCCCCCTCACTGGTTCTACTGAAGTAAACCCTGGTCTGTCTGCACCCTGACTGACTGGGCTTTCTTGACGGGTCTGCCAAGGTTCAGCCCAGTCCATCTATGGCCAGACTGGCTGGGCTCTGCTCACTGTGTCCACTGAGGTCCACCACAGTTCATGCACAGGTGGACCATCCAGGCTCTCCCTCACTGGGTTGCCAAAGTCTACCCCAGTCCATCCCTGGCCAGACCAACTGGTTTCTCTTGATGGGTCTGCTGAGGATCACCCCCGTCTGCTGCTGGACTGACTAGGCTCTCACTTGCTGGGTCTGCTGAGGTCCAACCTGCTCTGTCCATGGCTGGACCAACTGGGCTCTACTTTGTGGCATCCGCTGACATCCACCCAGGTTCATGTGCAGCCAGACCATCTAGGCTTTCCCTCACCAGGTCCACTGAGGTCTATCCCAGTCCACCCATGTCCAGACTGACTGGGCTCTTTCTCAATGGGTCCGCTGACCATCACCCTGGTTCATCTACTGCCAGACTGGGCTCTTGCTTGCCAGGTTCTCCAAGGTCCAGCCAAGTCTTTCAACAGTCAGACTGATCTTGTTCTCGCTCACTGGGATTGAAAAGGTCCACCCTGGTACATCCATGGATGAACCAACTTGGCCTACCCTCATCAGGTCCCCCTAAGTCCAGCCAGGTACATCTACAGCTGGCCTGACTGGGTTCCCCCTCACCAGGTCCACTGAGTCTACTCTGGTCTGTCTGCAGCCAGACTGACCTGGATCTCTCTTGCCTGGTCCACTGTGGTCCACCCTAGTCTGGTTGCAGATGGACAACTGGGCTTTCTCATGCCAAACTCTGGTTTTTCTGGAGCCAGACCAACTGGACTTTCCCTCCAGGGTCTACCAAAGTTCACCCTCATCCATCTGGAGCCCCACTGACTGGGCTTTCCCTAGTCAGGTCCACTGATGTCCATCACATTCAGCTTGCAGCTGGACTGAATGTTATCTCCCTTGATGTGTTCAGTGAGGTCCATCCTGGACCAACCATGGCAAGACCAACTGGACTCTCCCTTGCTGGGTCCACTGAGGTCCACCCTGGTCAGTCTGTGCCCAAGCTGACAGAGCCCTCTCTTGCTGGGTCCACCAAGTCCACATTTGTCTGTCCACAGCCAGAATGACCAGGCACTCCCTTGCCAGGTCAACCAAGGTCCACCCTGGTCCATCCCTGTCCAGGGCAACTGGGCTCTTTCTTGATCGGTCCACTGAAGTCCACCCTGCTCTGTCCATTGCTGGACTGACTAGTCTCTCACTTTTCAGATCCTTTGAAGTCCTGCCAGGTCTGCCCACAGCCAAACCAAGCTCTCACCCACTGGTTTTGACAGGGTCCACCCCAGTACA